TTAATTAATATGTTATTATTCTTAGCATTTGGTCTCAACTAATAACTGATAACTAGTACTGACTTTTTTCTTTGCCAACAAAGTCATAACTTAAATATTCTTCTCCTGAGTTCTAGCATGGCAATCTGTACAAATTTTTAATGATTATAAAAAGAAAATTAGATAATCAAACAATATAAAATCAAATTCTAGACAAATTTAACAAATAGAATGAATGTGCATTACTAACTGCACTCTTCTTTGTATACAGCTGAAAAGCCAACTTTCCACATTGATTGAGGAGGATAGCAGACCAAAAACAAAACGTGTCATATATGCTGCAGGCTAAATCTTGTAAATAATAGTTATCTTTAATTAGGTGCAATGAACGTTTGAACATTTTTTTATGAATAATATCACTTCTTAAAAGCACTTTTAAAATTTTATTTTCTCAAACCATGTTACATATCATATAATAGAACGTATTTTCAGATTTTAGGAGGTGAGGCCACCCCTAACCCCATGTAAGTCCGCCCTTGTCTGCTTCTGTGCATTTTTTTTCCAAAGTGGATGCTAAAATAGAAAAAAATTGGGCCCGGAATCCAGTATCTATTAATGGGTTAAGATGATCGTAGTTTCTCGATGAAGCAACCATGCTTTATTTTTACCCCTAAAAAAAACGTGGTTTATTTATATTCTAGGGGCAACAAAAGTTAAAGAGTTTTTTTTAAAAAAAAAAACTAGGAAGTATTTTCATTTAACTCCTTTCAACCATCTTGTCTTCAAAATACGGCCCTAAAACCCTAAAATGAATTTCTCATTAGAACAGAGAATGAGACTAATCTTTGGGACACACTTCACTGCAAGTGTGCCACCGCTTGGATTTAGCTCAAGAGCCTTTTAACCTTCTTCTAACCCTAAATTCTTGGTAGTCTTAAACACAATATATTGTTCCCGCTAATTAAGGGAAAGGCCGTACTTGGGAGTTAGATAACCTATATATCAAGATGCATGAACCGTGGACTCTAGAGATGTATACTTAGTTTTCAATCAATATTTCGATTGAGAAGTAGCCCACTTAGTTAATACCTTCCCACTTCCATCTTTGATCTGGCTAGATCATCTTGATCCCAAATTATACTGTATTCACTCCAAGTCTCCCCTTTTCTATAGATTTTTTTATATATAAAAAAATCCTATTATTTTTTTCCCCAGATATATGGTATATTTCCCCCTAATAAAAAATCCTTGATCAAAATAATTGTTGATGTATTCTTTTTCTTATTTTTTTTTAGTTTCATAATATGATCACCCGCCATGAGTCCTATCTTCTTTTTAATAAACTTATTCTAAATATCTAAAAACAATAGTTGTTCACATAGTAAAAAAATTTCTGCTATACTTTTGCCAAATAGTTTAATGATTCACATTTTTTAATAAAAGTAATGGAGCAGTGATTAAATACTAAATAATGTTATTCACGGACTTATACGTATTATTTTATATCTTTATAATTTTTTAATATCTATTTATAATTAATTTTATCTTTTTTTTTTATCTACACATTCTAATTATGTCATCCTTAACTGACCTAAGTTGACATGCAGTAAACAATATTATTCTTAAATATTACGTTTACTTCTAATGATTTTAATCATTTTCAACAGTTTTACCAATATTGTCTGCTTCTGATAAGGGACACAATTATAATTTGAGGGGAATATCCTTACTACTAAAAATTTCACTACCAATCTACTACTTATCTAATTACTATTGAGTCACATAGATGAAAAAAAGTTTATGAAGCGATAGAAAATACTTATAATTTTCAAAAATTGCCTTGCATCGTTTTTTATTTTAAGAGGGAGAGTGCAAGGTGACTCTATATAAAACAAGGGTCCATAGAATGGCCTTTAAAAGGACACAAATCCTTTCAGTGACTTAAATAAAATCTAAATGGAAATATTTTGTGTAAATGTGAATTTTTTTTTTTATTTTACACGTTAGCGATGTGACTGAAAAAAGAGAAAAAAAATTAACTTTTAAATTTACACAAAATCTTACCGTCAGATTTACTTTTTCCTAAAGAACAAATACTATGTTCTGCAACAAATACATACCAAATTCCCTTGTTTCATGCTTAGAGTTAGACCAACTCTCTCTGCACACTAGACTTTCCTTCATTCCTTCGCTTTCCTTGGTATCCCATGTGCTTAAAGCAACTTCCCTTTTACTTGCCTTTCCTTTATGTTGCCTGCAATTTTCAAATCAGACATTTTGGTTATTATTACACTCCAGTAGTTTCAGTACAGAATTGACAGTCAAAGCCGAATCTCACTCTTTCTCTGTCTCTCTACTCTACTACTGATATCCCATTCTGAAGAAAAGGAGACCCAGATGAAAAATGAACTGTTTTGGAGCTTATCTTGAAGAATCTCAGCTATGTTTCTTTGTGGTGTTTACCTGATAGGAATCAGTTGAGGTACAAGTCCCTTCTGTTTATATGATCCAGGTCACCTTTTTTCAGCAGATAAACTGCTAAAGATCAGATTTTTAGAAACGTGTTCAGATAATTTGCTACTGCTACTGTCATGAAGGAGTTTCCTTCTTGTTTTGGAGAAAATGGTGTTCAGGTTGCAGATTCATCCTCTTCAAGTACCACAAAAGGAGCTCAAAATGTGGTTACTTGTATCTATCAGTGTAAGTTAAAAGGTCGTTCTTTCTTGATTACGGTATCATGGACCAAAAATCTGATGGGTCAAGGCTTAAGTGTGGGAATAGATGAGGTGGGCAATCATTGTCTCTGCAAGGTTGATATAAAGCCATGGTTGTTTTCAAAAAGAAAAGGGTGTAAGAATTTGGAGGTTGAATCTAGTAAAATCGATATACTTTGGGACTTGAGCTGTGCTAAATTTGGTTCTGGTCCAGAACCATTGGAGGGATTTTATTTAGCTGTTGTGTTCAACCAAGAGATGGTCTTACTCCTAGGGGATCTGAAAAAGGAAGCATGCAAGAAGATTGACAGTGACTATGCTTATGGTCACTCTGATGCCATTTTTATTGCAAAGAGAGAACACATTTTTGGTAAGAAATTTTACGGTGCAAAGGCTCAATTTCGTGACAAGGGTCAAGTGCATGATGTCAGAATTGAGTGTGACACACTTGGGCCTAATGATCCCTGTCTTGTGATTCGAATTGATAACAAGACAGTGATGCATGTTAAGCAACTCAAGTGGAAGTTCAGGGGTAATCACACCATTTTGGTGGATGGTCTTCCAGTGGAAGTATTTTGGGATGTACATAATTGGCTATTTGGAAATGCTATGGGCAACGCAATTTTTATGTTCCAAACTTGCATTTCAACTGAGAAGCTGTGGGCAGGCCAATCTGTATATGATCCTTCTGTTCTGACATGGGCTTATTCTCAGAAGCTCAGGGATTCCCAGTTGCAAGGTCTTGGATTTTCTCTTATTTTGTATGCTTGGAAAAATGAGTAGTCAATAGAGAAGTTTAAACTTAGTCTTGAGTGCTAAACTTATATTCCCAGCCACGGTTTTCAACAATCATGTGATCAGATTACATGAAACTGCTAAACTCGTCCCTTTCTTTGCCCTTCTATTATTCTCTTATTTTTCTTCTCTTAATTCAATTGCATATACATACCAGCCCTTCATTTGCTTTCTACTAGCTGTTCTTGTGGTTTACAAAGAGATGAAAGGTTTACTAAGAGATGAAAGGTTTGTGCAACAAAAACTTTCTAAGTGATATCACTGCGAGAACGAGCTTCTTTTTCCTTGGGAAAAAAAACAAACATTGCATATCAGCTTTGATGGATTTTCAATTTTGTTTTGACATTTAACTATAAGCGTAAACTTCAAAATTTTGTTTTCTATTTGCATTTTCAATACTCACCTAAAAATAATAGCATGAGGTTTGAGCAAGACTGAACTCTTGCTTATAGTTTCACTTTCACAGTCTTAAAGGAAGTCATAAGTTTTCATGAACTCTTTACTCCATGGTTTGGAGAACCTCTTTCTAATCATGCGAGGGAAGTGAATACACGAAACAAATTCTGTTCCTTCGTAATTCTGATGGTTATATATTTTAAGGTAGATGTCTTGAAAGAGCTGTTTGCATAATACTAATCATGAGTGAGGTAAATAAGCAAAGGAAATGCCAACTCTTACTGTTTAAAAATTCTCTAACTGACTTGCAGAAAAAGGGAAGACACGATTTTCCTATCATAATTGCAGTTTTTTTTATCTAATGTTTCATCCTTGGATGAGATACTAGTTTTCAACGATTCTTCCCCGGTGCTGCACCACATGGAAGAATTGAAGTTCTTCGAAATTATTTTGCCTTCCACTCTATTGAAGGCGTGAGACTGAACGTTCATGATGGTGGACGGTGCAATAAATTGTTTTGACTGTTTTTTAAAAAAAAATTATGCTAAACTATGAAACTTTAGCTTCCCATTTCTTTGGCTTTTAACTTTTATTGGTGAACATCTCCCAAAAGAAAGAAAGAAAACAACTTTTATTCGGTTGAAATTCCCCCTTTTATCCTCCCTTTTAGTATGAGTACTCTGTCGGCCAAAGCTTGTGATAGATAACTGCTGCTTAGTTCTTGTAAACAAGGTTACCACCCCAAAAGCTAGCTCAAAGGGTGGGAGTGCCCAAGGTCTTATAAACTCCCACATTAGTTGAAAAACAACTAATGTGAGACTATATATCTCAACACGCCCCCTCACGCAAGAGCCCTCTTGGCTTGAAGCGTGGATTATGCAACAGGCTCAATCTTTGGTTTACCTTTTTGTGCTTCCACTTTAAAGTGGGGGGCGGTGAGGATCGAACCTCAAGCTCTGATACCATGTAAAGAACCTTGGTATACACCACCCCAAAAGCTAGCTCAAAGGGTGGGAGTGCCTAAGGTCTTATAAACTCCCACATTAGTTGAAAAGCAACTAATGTGGGACTATATATCTCAACAGTTCTTAAAGAAAAATATTTACTTACATAGATCAAAGGAACAATTCTCAAAGTTAATCTAATCAGAAGCATGGATTAATACACATGGGCACCAAGTCTGTGAAGAAAAGGTCAAATATTTATAGTGAGAGAGACATAGTGTAATTGTCAAGATTTGTAATGTGAATGAAGGCCTCAACAGCTACTATTCTGTAGTTGAATATGAAAATACAAGCAGAGTCAGAAAGTGAGACAACAAGAGTGGAGAAAAGATGAGCACAACTGAGGAGTAGGAATAATGCAAATCACTGCCTCTTCCTACGGCCAAATGTGTCTTCAGCACCATTTGTAACTCTTTCTCTGCGCTCAGCAATCATCTTTGAATATGCCTGACAATGAACAAGAAATATTGTGTACTTAACTTTTAAGATTATTTCTTTTGCTTATTTTCCTATTTTTGCTGTGTTTTAACTGAATTAAGTACAATAGAACCTACTCCCAGATTCCAAATAACTTTCTCAAATGCAATCACTAATACTAGAACATTGGCTGTTTAAGGTAATATCTCTGATATCAATCTCCCTAATTTTGAGAAACACAGGAATGAGACCTATACATTTATTTTTCAAGGATAACAAGACATGAACAAATCTCTATAAACCAAAATTGATGCTTCATTCCCTAAGACACGTTGGACGCCTGTGAATAAAAAAATCTGGCAGGTCATGTAATTTATATTATTAAACATGTCCAATCGCCAAACAAGAGTTCAGGGTAATTAAAAAACATATTGGATGTTCAAAAGTTCATAGATTCAGAAAAACACCAATCTGATATTCCTCTTCCAAAAAATTCCACTAACACCTTATTTCTTTTCAGGTGGCTCATAGAGCTCGTAGGATGAGTTAATCATGTGCTCTAAAGTAGAATATGCTTAGAAAAAAAACACAAGAAAGTTAAGTATATAATAGATGATTGCGGACCTTGGGATAAGAATACAGAAAGATGTACCACCATGCGCATATTAGTAACGATATGACTGAAGTGACTACCATTGACTGCAAAATTAACCAGCTAATGCCAATAACTGATACCCCAGTCAGTGTTATTGTCCATGGCTGACACCTAAACAAAAGATAAATAACAAACTAAGGCTAGTATAAACAACAATCAAACAAGGTATGCTAATAGCATGAAGAGGTACTTTATCTGACGCTATAATGTTGTCTCTAAACTACCAAACTTTACTAGATATACTACGAAATAATCTCTTGCACAATATATACAGTATAAGAGCAATTTTGTCTCCAAATCTCCAATATATATATTTTTTTGGTCTGGGATGGGGGTATTAAAAAAATTCAAGGTATGGGTTATATTTAATTACTTGAAAAAATTGGAAATTTTTGCATAATGGGGGCATAAACAATACAAAAGGGAAAGAGGAAAAGCTGACCAAGATGGTTTAGTATCCCAGACAGAGTCGTATTCGAGGGAGAGGTGATTGAGGTAACCCTCCATATCATCGACCACACCATTTTCGTCGAAGAACAAAGGGTCATTTGAGTCACTTGGATTGACACCAAAGACTATGGTTTTGTTGCGAAATCTTGTGGAGGAATTGAGAGAAGAAGACAAAGACTGATACAAGATGGGATTGGAGAAATGGGTTTGAGTTGTTAGAGTACGAGGTCGATGTGGGAGAGGAAGCGGCAATACCAACAGAGGAACTGTCCTCATTTTTAGCGGTGAGTACAGTCATTATCCGCTAAAGCTTATATTTATCTGGAAAATCCAAATATATTCCATGTTAAAATTTTAGATTGTCACCTAAAACTTATGCCTTTTTTTGTTTCTTTCTTTATAAATTATAAATATTCAAAAAAAAAATTATAATGTGCTATTCATTTAATATTTATAAAAAAAAAATTAAATACAAAAATTTAGAGGTGGCAATTTGGGTTGACCCGCCTCGCCCCGCCACCAACCCGCCAAAAACAGGGCAGGGCGGGTTGACCTATCAAAAATTATGGATTGAAAAAATGAACTCACCCCGTTTTTATGGTGAGTTGGCGGGTCCACCCACCAACCAGCCAATTAAAAAAAAATTAATTACAATTCTAAAATAAATTATATTTTATGAATTTTTCTAATATTATTTTATTTTATTTCACACTTTTCTATATTTTTTTGATCTCATTCTTAAATGTATATTAATATTTGTCAAACATTCTTTAGGAATTTATATATAGATAACATTTGTCATAAATAAAATTGTTATTCTTTATTTTTTCTAGGAAGTGCTAAGATAAAAAAAAATGGATATCACAAAAATTTAAGGACTAATGAAATACTACCTAATTGTAAAAAAAAAAAAATTATAAACCGGCGAGTCAATCCGCCCCCGGCGGGTTGAATCCGTTTTGACCCACTTCTAAACGGGGCGGGTTGCGGTGGGTTGGTGGGTTGAAAACCTCAACCCAACCCGCCCCGTTTTGGCGAGTTGGCGGATTGATCCGCCGGACTCAACCGATATTGCCACCTCTACAAAAATTTCATTTTTTATGAATATTCGTAAATTTCTATAAAATCTTATCTATTTGATATTTATGAAAAAAAAATAGACACAAAATTTTTAAATTCCATACAACGTTGTTATTCTTTAACTTGTGCTGACTACTCCTTATAAATATATATGTTTTAAGCGGTGCAAATTCTACGTTCTATTTTTTAAGCTTGGATTTGCTTCTTTTTTTACGGGGGCAAAAGCAAACTCGTGGTCTATGTTGCACCAACATCGACACGGGACACGAGATATGATACGACATGATATTCCGACACGTTAATTCTAAAATATATTAGATTTCGACACGTTAGGATACGTTTAGATATTAAATAATATTTTTAATTTATGTAATGTATATTATACTTAATATTCGATAATTTGACAAAAAAATAAAGCTAATCTTATAATACCCATCAATTTTGCATTAAATGGTAATCATAATCTAATTAATTTAATAGTTGAACTAAAAACGCAACGCAACACAACTTTCGAACCCTTTTTTGAGTCTTTGCAACACGTGTTGGAGTGTTTGGAGTGTCGAAATATCAAAAAGTGTCAGACACAATATGTCAAATTTTTTGAAGTGTCAGTGCTTGGACAAAGTGCTATAATTTCTCTATCTTATTGTCTTGACAATAGTGAAAGTGAGGGTTGTGTTAACTATTACTGAGGTGTTTGAAAAAATCGCTACATTCAATTGATCTTTAAATTATTCTTATATTATTATAAAGTTTAGGGTAAATTATACTACTCTTTTTCTTTTTCGTTAAAGAAACTCAAATTACACTGATATGCCATCTATTTTAAAAAAAATTACATTTTTTTCCTTTGAGAGACGAAAATGTGCTATATATTAGTCTATTTTAATATAAATGAATTTTAAGCCGTGATAAACAACTATGAATGAGCCTCCAATCGATTTTTTTTTTTCTTCCTTTTTGTGGTCTTCAATGTAGCTAATTCTGAACATTTACTATCAATTTTGAGACTTTAAAATATGAAATGAAGTTTTAAACACTCTACTATTAGCTCTTAGACTTCAATCAAAAATTTTATTTAATACCATAAAATATTGGTACTAGAAGTTCAAAACTAACTGCTAATGAAAATATTATTCTTAGAAGACTCGTTCAAATTAAAATGGATTGAAGAGTAGACTATATTAATTTCTTAAAAAAAAAATAGTATAATTTTTCAAAATAGAAAGAATAGCATTATATTTTAAACATCTTTATAAAAAATAATGCAATATACTTCAAATTCTAAGCCACTCGGAAGAGACTTTGGTATCTGAAATGATAAAATATAAAACAATTGATTAAGTTGAATAAACGATAAATTTCATCATTTCTTATAATTGACTAAATCAATTGAATAAATTAAAAAACGATTAAATCACTTGAATAATTTATTGGCCTGTTGGACTTAAAATTACTGTAAAGATGAAAGCAAGGCACGCAGACAAATCAGAATTTTGTGTTTTCCGCATATTCTCAGACACATTCCTTTTATACAATCACCTACTAAGAAGCAAAAACAGAAACTGGAACAGGACAGACTGAATCTAGCAATTAAACATAAATCACATACATCATATGATGCTGTCATTTCAGGAAAAAATACTCAATGACTAGCTCTCCCTTGGAGCAGGCATTATCCTAAGCCTCTCCTCAGATGCATGATTAACCCCACTAAACCTCTCTTCTGCTAGAAGTGACTGCAAATCACTACCATTTGCCAAACTGTTAAACTCAACTGCCTTAGATGGCAATGTAGGGTAACGCCGTTGGCAAAATGTCATTAATCTCTTAATTGATTGTAAGTACTTGCGAGTTGTCTCATCATTCATGATATGAGCCACACTATTGGTGTAGATCTTTTCACGGGCAGATCTTTCGTGAATACCAACCATAGTAACACCAATTGGCCAGGGTGCGTTCCCTATGGCCATCTTAATATATTGGTCCATTGCAGCAAGATAATCACGTTTCATACAGCATTCAACCACCACCAACAGTGCCCGTCGGATGTCATCAGGAAGAACCTGAAAATAGCAAGTACCACATACGTTCCATTCGTTAAATGCTTCAGAAAACATGCAAGACATATATCATATAAACAATAAAATTTTATGTCTACAGCTCAAATGAAATTCATTACTTGAAAGAGCACGCACTGACACATGGAATATAGCCTTCGAAAGGTATGCTAAAAATTCAATGACTAGAACTATGTTCAGTAAATTCCCTGATTCCCGTAGTGTCCCTTTCCCCCATGTTATCATTTTCAGACTCTAATTGAGCATCGACTAAGAACCCATTTGGATCCTCTCTTTTTTAAGATTGAAGCTACTTATAAGCTAAAAAAAAGCTAAAAGTTGTTTGGTGATTACATAAATTTTTTAGCTTAAAAGCACATATTTCAAGAAAAGTCTCTCTCTCTCTATCTCAATAGCTCTTCATTTAAAAAAAAACACACAATTCAAGAAAAGCTGATAAGAGCTTAAAAAAAAGCTCCTACTAGGAGCTTTTGGCTTTTAGTTTTTTTCTTCATTATAAAAAAAAAAAATTCATTACAAGAGCTTTTCTCAAAACCTGTTTGGCCTAACTTCTGCTTATAAGTAGCTTCTAGCTTAAAAAAGATAGAATCCAAATAGGCACTAAGACTAAGCATAATATTAAATTTATTTACCTAGAAACTAACCATCATATTATCAAGCATGATGAAGATATGAGGTTCAGCCAAACTATGACCATTAAAGTACTCAACACGCGATCACTAAGAGGAGATGAGGCAAGACTGAGATAATCAACAAGTAATGTAATTTCATTATCATTTATGGTCACCAAATTTAGTGCAACGACATAAGAACTCCACCTTGCACAAACAATTTCATGAAGATTCATACTGCCCAAACATACACATACCTCGCCCATCCAAATTTCAAATTTTCAACAACAATAATAAGAAGCCTTATCCATTAGAAGAGTTGGCTACATCAATTCAATCGAGCCCATTAGACTATATTTGAACTAAAAAATAAAACTAAAAATACCAAAGGGAAACCGGTAAATTCTATAAACAAACTCATAACTGATATATATAAAGGAAGATAAGTCAAATCCACCCTAACAAGTAATGACCTATATTTTTAAGTACTAACAGAGCCATGAGCAGCCATATTCATCATGAAATCTCAAAAATCATTTTGTTGAACAATGATACTGAAGTTCAGAGCCTTCTAACCAAATTGGCTTTGCTAGGCTGCAATTTCCCCACAACTAATCAAATAAAAATAGAACTTTAATAATTATTTCCTTGCTGAAGAATTTTTGTTTATGTCCAAGCAACACATGAAAAAGAAAAAGATGATTTCAGAAAAAATGAATTCAGTCCTTTATAAAGTTCTCCCCTGAAAGAGAGAATGGAAAGAACAACCAACAAGGATCTATTCCTCCACTAGAAAGAGATTAATACAGAGTTACAGACCATGGGAGAACCTAACCACAAAACCTTGCAATTGTGGAGTGACATCCCAAGGCCATACAAACTGCACATCAAAATCTCATACCTTGCATTGAGGTCCTAACAGATGTAGAAAAATTTATAGCCCTGCTAATCTGCAGTTCCCTACCCTTTCCAAGACATGTTCAAGCAGTCCCACTCAAAATTAAGCACCTCATATTTCCAACCCAAATGCAATGAAGCTCGAAAGATTGAAAAAGGAAACACTTAAGGAAAAAAAAACAAAAAAAGATTTTGCAGAGTCACGCAATACACTATACATATGCCCACGGAAAGGTCTTACCACAATTAGCCACCTTCCCCAAAACCACTGTAGTATATAATATATATAATATACGTCACTCTTGCCAAGACCAAGGTTGCCATAGATATAGTTATCAACAGATATAATGACAACAATTTACTTTTACATCTCTCCTGATTCAATCTGTTTTAGACTTCAGTATGTTCTAATTTAGAAGCTATACCATCAAACAATTAACAGTAAACAGCTCGGTGAATATATTCACCCACCAGCATGTGTTTTTCTCTTGATTAAACTAAGACCAATTAAGAGGAAGGTTATCAACCAAATGCACATATAATCAATCCGCAAGGGCAAACAAAATTTGAAGGAAAGCATATAAATAAACCAAGAGAGAAGGGAATTCACCTTCTTCCTACAAAACTTAAACAGAGGGTTCAGGTAACGCGCGCACTGCTTAAACGTGGCAACCATAGACTTCCCTTTAGCTGTTCGTTTCTCCGACTCAGGCATCTCCTGCAATTCCTGCTTCCACTCGTTCAACAGCTTCTTGAAAAACACCAGAATCTTATCTTCCTCACACAACTCTTCGAAATTCGCCTTCATCCGCTTCAAATCGTTGTCGGCATCGACGCCACTGGAACCATCGCCGTCACTCAAGTCATCGTCGCCCGCGCCGCCTTCCCGGTCCTCGGTGGAGCCGTCGTCGGCCTTCTTCCGTTTCCTCTCGCTCGAAATCCCTGTCTTCTGCCGCTTCCTCAACTCGGCGATGTCGCGCAAGAAATCGTTGGTCTGTCCCTCCGTCATGTCGCTATCCACTTCGAACAATCCGGCTTTGAGCACGTATTTCATGCGATCCAGCCTGGCATCGTCGTCTTCGCCAAAGAGCGTGACGGGTTGCTTGAGGAAGCGGAGGCGGCGAATGACTTCCTGTCTGGGGAGGACGAGGTTGTCGATGTTCTGTTCGTCGGGGAGGGAGACGTTGGAGGCGGCGGCGCTGGAGGCTATGGAGGTGGAAGCAGTGGTGGATGAGGTTGGGACGGTGGTGGAAGCGTCGGAGGAAGTTGCGTGACGTTTGTGAGATTTGGCTTCCAATTCGCGCTTCTCTTGTTCGCGGAGCTTTTGGATTTGTTTTTGTTGGATCTCAGAGCGTTTGAAGACTCTCTTGCCGCCGGTTTCTTCGGCCAGGGATTGGCGTTTCTTGAGAAGCTCTTGCTTCAGAAGGTCCATCTAGGGTTTTCGACGACGACGACGAAGGTGCAGTGATCAGATCAGAATTCAGAAATTTGGGTGAAATTGATTTGTGGGGATGTATTTTTAATTAAGAATTGAGAAATATCCAATTATCCACTATTTATCGGGAAAAAAAATGAGTTTTATTTTAAAAAATTGTAAAGCTACGTTACTTCAGAGAAAAATAAATAAATGAAAGAGTGAAAAATAAAAATGTGAGTCTTATTTTTTTTTTTTACTAAAGTAAAATGATGCAAGTTATATTATGTAAAAGGATAAATATTTTTTCTCTATTTAATATACATAAATATTTGATAAAATAATTTAAAATTTATTGTAATATATTTTATGTTAGCCATTGTCTCCCATGTTTTTTTTTTCTCTCATTAAAGAATAATGGTACATGACATGAGAAGTGATAAGATAACTCTAACACCTTTTTCTGGGGGTTAATTTTAAAGTAAAAAGTATCTTATTCAATTTCTTCGATTTGATTATTTAATGAGAAATAAATATTTAATATTATTTTAGATTACTTTGTCTAATATTCATTGAAACGACGTCGTTTTGAAGTTGAAAAATAAAAAAATTAAAATGATAAAGATTATTATAATCCTGAAATAAATTAAAATTACAAAAATACCATGATTTTCACCCCAATATGACGTTGTTTCGGTGAACAGTAGATAAAATTATCTAAAGTAACTTTAGAAAAATAAACCCTTATTTAATCATTCTTTTAGGTTGTATTTTGTTTAAAATCTAATCTAATCCAATTCAATTTTATTTTGTAGGATTGGATCAATTTTGTTTTTTCATCACAACTATATAAAAATGAAGCTTACAAACAATTGTAAAATTTAAGTTTTCGAACTAAAATAAATCTTTGAACTCATGAATAGTTAAAATAAAAAATCAAAACAACGAAGTTTGTTATTAACATTCAAGATCAAAGTTTAAAAATAACAAAATTTCAAGTCACCATCTATTCTATTTATACTTCACTCCTTCGGTTTGGGTCTGTTTGGATTGGATTATTTTTTATCAACCAAACTAAAAACCGATCTAATTCAATTAAAATATGCTACTTTTTTTTTCTGTTTTCAATTAATTTGGTTATTGGTTTTTTGTTTGAGTCACCGTAGTTTGAATCGATTGATTAATATCCTTACCTTTTTCTTTAATTATTATTTTTTACTTCCTTTACTAATGAATTGTGTCAAACTTTTTATTTTTTCATCTATCATATCAAACAAAGCCCATAGTCTTTTTTTTTTAATATAGATAATATCGAGGCATTCCCATACAACCTCCGCTGACCACCTTATTCTCAGAGTATGACTCCCTAAGATTAGCTTCTCATTGAAACAAAGAGTGGATTGAATCACTGTCACTAGAAGAAGGATGAGAGTAATCATATTCAAGGAAGAGACAATTTCCCTCTGGCTCCCAAATAATTTCAAAAATTTGTTTGGACCAAAGTTTGAGCCTCAAACCCTTAGGCAGTTGCTAATTTAGCTACCATCCCTCTATAATATAAATGTTCCTAAGTCAAACAAAATTAATTCTCGTGAGAATATAAATTTTGATCCAAGGTTCCATACTTTCATTCATATCACAAGTTGGTTTCTGTTGAAATCAATGTAGGTCACGAGTATTCAATATAAGTTAATGAAAATAAAAAAAAAGTTAATAATAATAAAATATAAATAAACACAAATAATAAATATTACTTAACATAATTGGTATTTTTTCAGTAAAATAGTCTTATGATAGTTAAGGTTATAAATAGATTAGGTTAAACTTTTGGGTTTATTATATTTTTAAAAAATAAAGTTCAGCTTGTTTATAATTTGGTTATTTTTCAATCAATTCTCAATTTTATTAATTTAATATGAATAAATATTTTTATATTGAAAGATGAAATAAGATATTTAGAAATCAAAATTACATAATTATAATTTTTCGAGTAATAGAATATGCCTATTGTTTTCTACATGTGTATATAATTTGTATCTCTATATAGATAACTAAAGAGTTATTCACGAACTGACTATGAAGTTTAGCTCATTTGTATAATACAGCCTAAAATAAAGCTTAATCCAGCATTAAATTTGCGACCTTCTACATTAACAGTGATTAGATTTCAGTGGAACATTGTACGATTCAATCACTGACGTCGACTCTTGCATTTTCTCCTAATTTGCGATCGTGTTTGGCTGAGAGCGAGCAAGATGACAACGATACGCAGGTTTTGCTGCAACGATCTTCTTCGTTTTGCTTCCGTCAATCTTGACCATCTCACCGAAACTGTAAGTTTTCCATTCAACACTTTAATTGGGATTTGTGAACTCAATCGATGCTGATGGTGCCTTCACTTTAATTGCTTGTCCTTGTTTGTTTTCAGTTTAACATGTCCTTCTACATGACCTATCTCGCAAGATGGCCTGATTATTTCCACGTTGCCCTAGGCCCTGGAAACCAAATTATGGGTTACAGTTAAGTCTTTTGTGTTATCCCCTAAATCCCTATTGTTCCTCAAATGTGTTTTTTTTTCTTCACCCTCTCAATTTTCATGTTCTAGGCAGTTTTGTGTTTCTAATACCTGCTTGCTAGAGCACGATAATGACATCTTAGATGCATGATGTGGTTTATGTTTCTCGTAGAAGTTTAGATTATGTGCCCAATTGTGGATTAAGTCAATATGATGTATGATTTGATAGTGATTTCATCATCACCTTCTACTTGTGGAGGATATTGGGGTATTAACACTGATGTTATTTATGTAGTTATGGGTAAAGTAGAGGGGCAAGGAGAATCTTGGCATGGTCATGTTACTGCAGTAACTGTTGCTCCAGAGTATCGAAGGATGCAATTAGCCAAGAAACTAATGAATCTGCTTGAAGACATCAGTGACAATATGTGAGACATGCTTGTGTTTGATTTTTTTAATCTTTAGTCTCTGAAACATTCCCCTGTCCTCTTTACATGATCTTATTTGAATTTTCTTTTCATAGTAGTTTTCTGGTAAATCATTTATTCTGTACTTCTTGATATGTAATATTTCTCTAATCACTATAACTTTTGTTTTGTCTGATACATCAATAGTTTTGGCTGGAATAAATAAGTTATTTTAATTTCCATATTTTAAAAAGTGGAGCAGTAGATTAAATATGTGGGATTTTTCTTTCTCTTTGATTTGTGGTGGGACTGCCCGATGAGTTACTAGTAGCTTAATGATTTTGTACTTGTGTGGATGCCTTGCTCTAAGAATGTGGAATTTGGCAGTGACAAGGCGTTCTTCGTTGATCTCTTTGTGAGAGCATCAAATGCACCAGCCATCAAGATGTATGAAAAGGTAACCGTTCTGTACTTTTCATTTCAGCTTAGACCTTCCCTTGCTTCCGTTTGGGTTTATGAATGTGGTTGTTTTAAGGTGTTTCTTTGTCAGATATACAGAAGGATTATAGAGATCTCTAGCTGTTATTTTTTTCCCTTTTCATTTCCTTGTTTTATGTGGCGGTAGGAGGATGCTTGATCCTCCTGTTCTATATTTCTCTTTTATTCTAATAACTTTTTCTTCTATCAATTAAACAATAGAAATTAGGGAAGAAAAAGGGTCTAGAGAAATGGATATCTTGTATAAATTGAACCATGGTAAACGGTTATTTCAAATAATTGGATGTAGGATAGATTCAGTAACCTTCCTGAACCCTGTGATTTCAATACTTGGCAACACATACGGTCTTCTTCTCCATGGCTTCATCTATTGTTGCCTTTTATGTGTTAGGAACCCCTTATTTAGGAAATTAGGTTAGAAGAAATAATGGGGGATCCAAAGAACCTTGTGTGCCAGCTTCTGTTTGTTAGGTTTAGTTAGTTCCCAAACAAGGGGGTTAATAGGGGTAGTTAGGGACAACATCGACATCACCTTTATCCCAAACTAGTTGGAAAATAGGGGTAGTTAGGGAAATCCCAACTAAATTAGTTTGTTAGGTCACTGGGATTAGGGTTAAGGGAATACATGTAGGGAAGTTAGACACTTAATTAGCAGAGAGGCAAGGCCAAAGACTAGGATTTCTCTTGAGGTTAGGAGAGTTTTGAGTGTCATTTTCTACTTCATTCACCAGGAAACTCACATGTTCTCTAAGGGGAAGAATTTATCAAAAAGATTCAATATTTGATACCCAATTCCAATTCCCAATTCTTGAGCCAGTGTCTACCAACCAGCTCAAGATTATGTTTGGATTAGTTGGCTTGAAAGCTGCTGAGCTTCATGTAAATCTTACTCAAGCCCATAGTTGTCAGTAGCAGTTAGCGTCCGGTAGCGGCCGACCCCGAAAATGGTATATTGGTGTAGCGGGTATCGGTATTGCCGCTACGGTGAAGTATTAATTCCACATATATTATACTAATAGTCAAGAAATGAGGCAATGCTGCTTTTAGTATTAATGCTTAAACATAAGAAGTCACATAAAATCAAACACATAATTCCACAATCAATGTCAAATACAAGGAACATAAAGAAAGGATCCAAAATTAAACACAAATGAACAATAAAATTGTCAAACAGTCAAGTAAAAGAAGTGAACTAATGAAGAAAATCATCATCATCTCCAGATTCTCCATCAAATTCCAACATGGGAGTTGTGTAGCAGTGTAGCGGGTAGCGGTATTGCCGCTACGCTACGCCGCTACCTTCCGCTACGGCCAACATCGGGTAGCGTCGCGGTTTGTAGCGGCCGGCCGTCGCTACTCGCTGCGGTAGCGGTTTAACGACACTACGGGCTGCTACTAACAACCTAGCTCAAGCCAAGAGCCTTGAAACTTTGAAATAGTTCAAGAAGTAGCAAGTGGAATTTTTGTTTGTCACTGGCGTGGCTAAAGAAGTTGAAAGGCTATTTAATGAATTTGAGGAAAATGAACCAGAAGCATTGCCACTGAAAAGGTGGATCTCAAAGAGGGTCTTTAAAGCAATTCACACATGAGATGGAACATTTTTATGGAAGCAAGGCATGCCTGTTTGGTTAAATAAAGGAGTTGTGGAGCTTGTTTTTGATTTTGTTGTTTCTAAGGAGGGGAAGCCCTTGTCACCTGAGGCAGCTCGTATACTGCATTTGCTGGGAATTGGTTTTGGACTATCATTGTTCATACTTATCCCAAATTTGAGAATCTCAATTTGGCTCCTTGGTCCCTGATACAACTAAAGCAAAAAGTGTTGATGCTGCCATATTTGCTGTTTTGGATTGGAAATCACAAATAGACCCTGTGATGACCCTGGAACGACATTGAACGAAATGGGTACTCCCTTCCTTGCTCTAGGATCTACGTTTAGGGAATTTGCTTGTTTCACTGTGAACCTCATGGGCTAGGACAAGTGAGCCCAACTCTAGCTATTTGGAGTTAGTTACAAGAGAGAGATTGAGAGTCTATATAATATACATGGGTGGGAAGGGGGAAATCATGCTTATGGTAATAGGTGGTTATTGGTAGTGGAGGACCTGGGGGGGGGGGGGGGGGGGGGTATTGTGTAGTGTCTCAATCCTTCATCTGAACTCTTTTCTTTTGTGCAATTCCAGTGTTGCTTAGTGGAAGGGTTGTGCCCGCCATTTTTTTTGTTCAATGAAAATAAGTTTTATCAATTAGGTAACGGTGCGACTCGATCCGGAGGTGCTTCTGGTCCAGTTTTGTGAAGAAATGGAAGCCATAGGAGGAATTAGCAATTCAGAGCTCAAGGAAATGCTGGTCAAAACGTTGAAGGTTTTAGATGGGGTGATAAAGAAGATGTAGACATCGAGATTTGAAATCAAAAAGCACAATGCTAATAATCAGTCAAAGAAGAATCAAGAAGAGGCAGAGGCAGAGATGAAATTAAAAATCAGATTTGGTGAGATTAAAAATCTTGAAGAAGAAGAAGCTATTCAGTCAGAAAAACAAATCAAAGAAAAAGAAGATGGAAACAAAGAAAAAGAAACGGAAGGACACGCAGAAGGAGAAGAAGGAAGAGGAAATGAGGAAGAAGTAGAAGAAATTGGAGAAGAAGAATAAGAAGAAGGAAAAGCGCGAGAAGAAGAAGAGGAAGAAATAGAAGAAGAAGGAGGAGAAAAAATAGAAACAGAAGAAGAGAAAGAAAAGAAGCAGAATCAGACAAAGAAGAAGACGGCGCAAAAGGAGCTGAAGCATAAGAAGAAGAGGTAGTCGCAGGAGACAAAGAAGAAGCAGATGAAGAAGTGGAAAAAGAAGAAGAGGCAGTAGCAGAAGAAGAAAAAACTAAAGCGGAAAACCCTAAACATAGGGAGGGAGGGAGAAAAGTGGGGCAAGATGGACAATACTAAGACCTAATGGGCCAAGCCCAAAAGAAATTGGTGCTAGAAGAAAAACAATGGGTTCTATCGAATCCATTAAGATAACTTTAGTAATTATGTTGAATTAAGGCCCAAAACTTTTAATGAACAAAGTTGAGAAATGGGTGCTGAAAATAATAATTGGCCAAGAGAAAAGAAAGACCCATGGGCCAAAATTAGTGGAACAAGTAAAGAGGAGACAATATGTGCCGAGTCCTATTGAGGTTCATGGTTCTGGGCAGAAAGGCCATAGAAAACAAAGCAATCTACTTCCGTCAATGGGACCTAGGTGGCAGCTTCTCTCACACTTGATCTTGACCTCTTTCTTCACCTTGAGGACAAGGTGAATCTTTAAAGGGGAGTATTGATGGCTAGGACAAGTGAGCCTAGCTCTAGCTATTTGGAGTTAGTTACAAGAGAGAGATTGGGAGTCTATATATATTATACGTGGGTGGGAAGGGGGAAATCATGCTGATTGTTATAAGTGGTTATTGGTAGTAGAGGATCCATGGGGGACCTCCAGGGGGTATTCTGTAGTGTCTCAGTCCTTCATCTAGACTCTTTTCTTTTTCTGCAATTACAGTGTTGCTTGATGTAAGGGTTGTGTCCGCTGTTTCTTTTGTTCAATAAAAGTAAGTTCCATCAGAACCCTTCTCCCAATGGAGGGAAATTGGGAGCAATTATGCGGCCGCAATGAACAAACATGGGGTCTCTGACCCGTTGTTAATAGTGCGGAGGAGATTTTCGATGGAGTGGGTGTTATATCATTGAGTTTCAAGCAATGAGACTATGGTGGAAGTTTTGTGACAAGCCCTGATAAGTCACGGCCCTTCACCTTGACAGCACTTGAAAAAAAAGGGTTATCAAATATTATTGAATTGTGTATTAATCTGATACAACGAGGTCTCTATTTATAGAGACTAAAAAACCTAATTCTTGACCTAATGGGCTTGGCCCAATACAACAAATACTAATAATAATAAAAGACCTAATATTTACAACACTCCTCCTCAAGTTGAAGAATAGATATTTATCATTCCCAGCTTGCTAGTAAGTTCTTGAAATCTGTCTGAAGGAAGTCCCTTTGTTAATAGATCAGCTAATTGACGCCCAGTGAGAATGTATGGAGTGGTAATCAACCCGCTATCAAGTTTCTCTTTGATGAAATGGCGGTTGACCTCAATATGTTTAGTCCGATCATGTTGAACCGGATTATGAGCTATACAAATAGCGGATTTATTGTCACATAGCAGCTTCATAGGTCCCTCATATTTTATTTTGAGATCATCAAGTATAATTTTCAGCCACAGTAACTCACAAATGCCTTGAGCCATAGCTCGAAATTCAGCTTCTGCACTTGACCTGGCAACCACATCTTGTTTCTTACTTCTCCATGTCGCTAAGTTACCGCAAAGAAACATGCAATAACCAGTGGTAGATCGACAGTCAGTCACGGATCCAGCATAATCAGCATCAGTGTAGACTTCTAAAGAGAGATTGCCATCACGTCGGAATAACAATCCTTTACCAGGAGTAGCTTTAAGATACTGAAGAATTCTCTCTACTACCTGCATGTGTTTCTCCTTTGGATCGTGCATAAACTGACTGACAACACTAACAACATAAGCTAGGTCTGGTCTAGTATGAGCCAGATATATCAATTTCCCAACTAGCCGTTGATATTGTCCTTTATCAACTGGAGGACTCTCCTCTTCATAGCCTATCTTGTGATTCTGCTCAATAGGAGTATTAGAGGGTTTACACCCGAGCTTTCCTGCTTCTTTGAGAAGATCAAGAACATATTTTCTCTGGCTGATAAAAATTCCTTTCCTTGAATGAGCTACTTCTATCCCTAGGAAATATCTCAGTTTCCCAAGATTTTTGACTTCAAACTCAGAGGCAAGCCGTGTTTGCAGAATCTGTTTCTCCACAAAATCATCACCTGTGATAATAATATCATCAACATATACAAGGAGCACAGTAAGCTTCCCATTATGGGAATGCTTGAAGAAAAGAGTGTGATCTCCTTGACTCTGTCTGTATCCTAAGGTCATCATAACCTTAGTAAACCTTCCAAATCAGGCACGAGGTGACTGCTTCAATCCATACAAGGCCTTTTTTAATTTACAAACTTTATTTTCTCCTTTCACAGAATCAAAACCAGGCGGGATTTCCATGTAGACTTCTTCTTCTAACTCACCATTGAGGAAAGCATTTTTCACATCAAACTGATTTTTATCCCAATCGTAATGGGCAGCAAGGGACAACAAGACTCTCACGGTCTCACCGTATTCATCTATGCAACTGGAGCAAATGTTTCTTCATAATCAATGCCATAGGTTTGAGTGTAACCTTTGGCAACCTTGGGATACACCACCCCAAAAGCTAGCTCAAAGGGTGGGAGTGCCCAAGGTCTTATAAACTCCACATTAGTTGCACATACAACCAATGTGGGACTATATATCTCAACACGCCCCCTCACACGAGAGTCCATTGGGCTTAAAAAGTGGACAATGCAACAGGCCCAACCTACCTGTGCTAAGAAACGCCACAAGAGAAAGTGAGGGGCGGCGAGGCTCTGATACCATGTAAAGAACCTTGGGATACAGCACCCCAAAAGCTAGCTCAAAGGGTGGGAGTGCCCAAGGTCTTATAAACTCCACATTAGTTGCACATACAACCAATGTGGGACTATATATCTCAACAACAGCTCTTCACCTTGACGACAAGGTGAAACTTTTAGAAGGGGGAGTATTGTTAGGACCCGCCTATTTAAGAAATTAGGTTAGAAGAAATAATGATGGACCCAAAGAACCATGTAGGCCAACTTCTGTTAGTTAGGCCTAGTTAGTTTAGTTAGTTCCCAAACAGGGATAGTTAGGAAATCCAAACAGAAGTAGTTTGTTTGGTCATTGGGATTATAAATGGGGTAGAGGGAATACAAGTAGGTTAGTTAAACAGTTAGTAAGCAGAGAGGCAAGGCTAGAGACTAGGATGGTTAGTTAAACAGTTAGTAAGCAGAGAGGCAAGGCTAGAGACTAGAATTTCTCTAAGGTTGGGAGAGAGAGTCATTTTTATTTTCTACCTCGACTCATTCATCAGGAAACTCATATGTTATTTGAGGGGATTAATTAATCAATAAAGATTCAATATTCGATTAATGGATTTCCAATTCTAATTCCCAAATTTATCAATAAATTCCAATTCCCAATTCTGTTACACCCCGGAGGAGATCTTAACCAGAATCACAATGGAAAACAGGGGAATCAAAACAAAGGAAGACAAAACAAGATCTTTATTATTCAAGAATGAAGCTTGGTTACAAGATATCACTTAGTCTCACTGAATACAATATTTCTGAATGAATCTCCAAAAGACCCCAACAACCTATTTATATCCCCACTATACAAAAGTCCCTCTTTTACCCGTGTAACTAACTAACTAACTAATATAACAGCGTAACTAATCTAACAGAGTGCCTCCAGTGTACTGCCTCCTGTGTACCCTTGTATTTATGTTCGTAAAAAATTCTTGAGCCAGTTTCTATCACCATTTTCCCTCACAGCCTCACACTGCTAAAAGAACTCTTATTTCGTACCCAATGCCAGCATGCTAAAGAATCATAAGCAGTTTTACCATTTCCACAAAATCTGACTTTTCATGAGACCATGAGAGCATCAAATGCGAACTGCCACCACCAACTTGGAGTATAGAAGCTGCAGCATAGTGGAAAAGTTGAACCAATTCAACATATAAAAAATTTGGGTAGGGATATATCTATAATCTATCCCAATTTATTTCCTGTTTCAGTTGTTAGCTCATTTCTTACAGGTCATTTTGTGTAGACTGCAGAGGGCAATAAATTACTCATTTTCTTTCTCACAACTTGAGGACTTTTGCATGATTATTGACATTGTGAATGTTTCCAAAACCAGACTAGTCATTGAAGTGGTAAATAAAAGAGAGAGGTTTAAGGTTTTAAGGTCCAACTGGGGTTGAACTGGGTTTTGTAATATCCTTATATATTTAATAAATATATGAAGTATACAAGTAAACTTATGAAAAAAAAAACTGAAATATACATTTAAGATTACTTATGACACATACAATAAATCAACACATTCAGAAAAAAATAAAAATAAAAATTTACCAAAACTACTCCTCATTAATCCCCGACTAGCGATGGCAGGGGTGAGGATAATTCTTGTACGCAATCTTACCGTTACATATATGCAAAGAATGTATTTCCCTAATTCGAACCTATAACCTTTTAGTCACAAAGGAATAGCTTTACGACTACCTCAGCCTCGTCTTCTTAGAAAAAAGATAATAATTTACACATGCAATAAATCTTATAATATATAAATATATTGAATATATTTTAAACTAAATAATTAATTTAAATGTAAATCTTAATATGATTGTACCCAAAACAACATCTGAATATGAAATAGTAATATAATAAAATAAATAATTTAAGAAGCTAAACATATAGCATCAAATGGTACATTGGTCTGTGTTTATGCCTTGAACCTCAAAACTTAGGTTCAATCCTTAGGTGAAACAATTTTATTAAATTTATCTCCATTTTCCAAAAGATGACAATTTATTGTACAACTACAATGTATATTCACAAGCGATATTGACACAGTGGGTAGCGAGTCTTCTTGCATTTGTAACAGCCCTGGTTTGACACATGGGGACTGCATGTTGGTGCCATTTTGTAACTAACAAACTGAGCTGGTTTTAAAAACAGTGGACAACACAGAATTTTCAGAATTAGGATTTTTGGTTCTTGGTTATTTTGTTCTGCATCAATCTGGTAATTTAATGAAGTATAAGGGGATGATAATATGATTGTGAATCTGTGATTAGTATATTAATTTATAAGGACGTAAATTGGATAATTAGAGCTTGTTATTGGGGATTTGCAGATTAATTATCAGTGGTTTAGGAATGTAGTATTTAGTTTAGATCTTGGGATAGGGATTTCCATATGTTGGATTAGGATTTCCTGAGTCTAAAGACGAGTTGCTAACTAATTATTTTCCTGATTGACATTTTAGCTTGGCTACGTGATTTATCGACGAGTGCTACGATACTATTCAGGGGAAGAAGATGGATTAGGTATACTTCCATGTTCTTGTATTTTATCTTTGTTTCTTACTCTCTTATAAACAAAGCTCATGCTGCTATTTATCTATTATCATTTTGTTTTATTTTCAGATATGAGGAAGGCATTGTCTCGTGATGTTGAAAAGAAGTCCATAATCCCTCTTAAACGGCCAGTCACTCCTGATGAGTTAGAATATGACTAAATCTACTTTTCATGCAACATATGTCTTAAAGCAAACATGTTGATTATGTATCATATGGTAATTAGTTACATTTGTCCAACTATGGGAGTGTATAACCAGTCACATATTTGAACTTTTGAAGTACTGGGATGTAATCTTTTGGAAGTTGCTCTTGTACTGCTAGAATACTGACCTATGTTTAGAAGTAAAACCTGTTGGTACTTGGTAGGTTGTCAACTTGGGAAGGAATTGACCATGGTGCGTTGGAAGGGTTAGTAAGTGAAAAATGGCCCTAGAGGATCATCTTCTTAGTAACATGAATAAGATTCCAAGGCCAAGATATGATCAATCTTCGACAATCATGTTGGTCTTGCATTTCCTCTGGTTCTTTTATTTGTTTGTTTCGTTTTTTTAAATCTTGTCTCATCTAATATGTTATCATTAAATATCACTTGCATGTTTCATTTCATTAGATTTAAATCGAAGGTACTAACTTTTGGGGTTCTTTCTAGAAATTTATGGTCTTGTCGTTTCCTGGTTTTTCCATCTGTACCGGCTTAATTTAAGGGTCCTTTAGGCAGTGTGTGAATCTAGTCCATTTTTCGAGAGAAAAATATCTATGTACGACCTTTGCTTTATTCAGTTGACACTGGATAGTCTCACTTATCCATGGTTTGGAAGTGAAATTGATATGACCTTTACTGTATCTCTATCCTATCCTTTTGGTGCTGAATCTCTCTATCATGTCCTTATCACTTGAATTATGCTTGAGTGGTATCTTGCTTACGCTTCTGTAGATAGTGGAAATAGAATATTAGAAAGATTATCTATGACTAAAAAAAGAGCATGAAATTTAAAAACTTTCATATTTGTGGTCGTAATCTTCTTATGCGAGGCCCTTGCATCATAATCGAAGTTTGAAAAGGAATATATGCTGTACACATTATAAAAGTCTGACTGCTTAAACTAGCTGTTCTTGATATGCTTGAATTGCAGTAGCTGTATTGATGGGTTTACTGTTTTAGGTTTGAGTGCTGTTCGTGGACTAGATAAAAAGAAAAAGATACGTATTTGGCATCCGTTGAAATTTGACGTATCAAGATCACTGTTACATCTTCACAAACGTAAATATGATTAAGCTATTTGAAAGAATATCATGGAACTCCTACTTCAAGGAAGCCCGTTCTTATATATATTTTATTGTCTCTTCAATTCCGTAGTAATTAGCATCTTATTTCGTTTTATATTTTAACCCATATCCTTCATATAAACTGTACGGTCAAATCTAGGGCTTCTTCCATCTATTTGCTACTTCAATGTAATATGATATTTCTGTTTTTATGGGATGCATAGGAGAAACAGATGTCTTAAGGTTCGCATCTTAGCAAAAGTGATTTTCGTGACAGAAGTTTATTTTCATGGCCAAATCCGCACAACCTTCATTAGAGAAGCATCTTTTTGAATATGAAATAGAAGGCAAGATTGTGCATTTAAGATTTTCACATTGGCTAACAGAATAACATCGATTAAAATTATAATAAAAATACAAAAGCACTTCACCCTCAAAGAAAAATCTTGTAAAAGCTGCTATCTTCTAAGTTCATGATCTCAAGTTTATATAGTTGTTCTTGTAAGTTGATCCAATACTACACTACCAGTGTTTATTGCAGTAGTGAGTCTAAGAGATTATGTACGACTGATCTGGCAATTAAAGCCATTCGTTGAGTTTTTGTTCAGTAACTATCTCGAGGAGAAATTTGTACACGTGTTGCGCTGCATGTACAATAATCAGTCTAATTGTGCTAGGAGAAATTTGTGCACGTGTTGCATTGCATGTACAATAAACAGTCAATCGTGCTACATGTGATGCCTGATTGCTACTTTGTCAGACTGTCCAACTCATATTTGAGCCGTTCATTTTATACATACAGTGCTTAACAAAAAAAAACAAAAAAACAAAACTGGATGTATCTTGTACTTCAATTCAGAGTTTCTCATCTTTTGAGAGCATAATGTTGTTCATCCAAGAAAAATGCTTTAGCCAGTACGGTAGAAGCTCTGCGTGAAATAGGATAATTGAACATTCTTGGGGTCACAGGTGGTGGTCCTGGTTGACCCGTGGTCTACATTGCATTTACAAGTAGCACATGAGTGTCTCCTGCCTCTAGATTGCTTCACTGGATCACACAATCTATAGGCTACGTGGTCCACCAAAGAGTATCCTTTTTACATCGTCTTTTTTGGTTGAATATCTTTTTTTTCTTTTTAAGAAATTCTCACTTCATGGCTAAACAACCCAAAAGGAATTATTTATGTGGTTTGTATCCTATCCACTAATATTGCTGGACCAGGTTGTGAGAGACCCAAAAATGGATAGAGATGGGTCATCTACCATCTGCATGTTTGCTGCTTTCACAACATGTAAACAAGCTAGAAAGGATATAGGGTGAGGAGAGAAATGAGAAAGAAGGGGTAAAAAAAGGTGATAGGAGGGAGAAAAAAAGATTGGAAAAATCATATGATAGTAGCTCTAGAAGGTAGCTCTACAACCTGAGCAAATGAGTGTGAGAGCACACGTTTGATAAACAGAATTATTTTTAGGAGGGTTTAAAATTTTAATATCTTAAACAGAATTATCTTACGTGAACTATCCATATGGTTTATCAAAAAAAATAAAAAGATTGAGAAAAAAAAAAAAAAAAAGCTAGGGAGGGATTGCAATGAAACCAAGAAAGAGTGGTGGGCACATGGCTTTCGTCCATCATTGGATATGGCTGGACTGCCATTACCAAAATAAGTTACACTCCAAACACCGTCACCGATCCACTTTTGCATTCAGTACGGATACAAAATCAAATCTTGGGATAGGATTATGTGACGTTAGTTTTAAGAGGTAGGATACCTCTTCACTGCACTCTAATCACCATTAGATTTAAAAGTTATTTTTTTTTCTCTCTCTTTATTCAACTTGTCCTCTAATCCAATGGTAATTAGAGTAGTAGTAAAGTGGTAGTAAAAAAATTTGGTAGTATAAATATCTTATCCCTAGTTTTAAATTTAAAATTTGACACATCGTTTGAAGCTCTATTTTATAAGCATATAATATTATTGATTTTTTTTTAATTTAACAGCTCTAAGATGAAATGTCAAATTTTAAATTTAACATCGATATCAAATGATTGTACCCCTCAAATCTTAGGATGCCTCCTCTCTTTCTCAATGAAACCGCTGTCTCCATCTCTTTGTCTTCTTTACAACCTAGTCTATGTCATTGAGCCTCATCTCCATGGGGACAACACATCCAATCCTTTCAAGAGGGCTACTGATTTTGCAGTTTCTTCTGATCCACTTTTCCATCATTTCAATGGCAAACACATGCAGGCCTCGTGATGCCACCCATATGCTCAAGGTGTGTGTATGTGGGTTCAGTGTCATGTGTATTCAAGTTCGGGATAGACTTCATTTGTATTATTGGGACCTCATATCAATTGTGCACAACTATATGCTAGCCATATGAAGGTACGAGCCCACAATCATGTCTTTTTGAGGGTATATCACTTTATGTGAATGAATAGACGACTCTGTGGAGCCCATCACTCCCTAGTTCTATGTGTCCTACAATTTGACAAGGTGTTCAAATTTCATTGGTTCCTAGCGTTTGACAACTCGGTGGATTTCTTATAGGGATTATCATTTCATTTCTGCTTCAATTTTCTGCGACTGAGACATAAAACAACTAGAAACAAAGCATAAAGAAATGAGATAGAAAATAATGATGGCCCCATTTATTTTTGAGAAATGTTTTTTTATATTACATAAATTTTTTTTTATCTCATATTATATATTTATTGAAATCTGAGTCAATATTTTTTTCTTCTTTTTTTAGTTATGGGACCCACCTAATCATGTCTCTACATGAGACAATGCTATTTCATGTAAGGAATAAAGGAGTATCCTTTTGAATGACACAAGTTTGTGTCATCTTAGGTATTTTACACAAAGTACGACCGGTCGTACTTTGTGTAAAACTGAAAAGTTACTTTTTTTTCTCTTTCCCCAGTCATATCGCCGACGTGTAAAGTGAAAAAAATTAACTTTTCAGAATTACACAGAATACGATCGTAAATCACTAAAAGAACACAACTTGTGTCCTTTTGAATGACACACACTAAACCCTTCATGTAATATGAGAAAAACATAACCCTTTATTTTTATGTCTCGGTAATAAAAAAAATTAAGTGAAATATCTTTTGGGTCTCCACCAAAAATTATGGATCTATTTTAATCTTTTAGAAAAAAAATTAAAGATCCTTATAAAATTCAAAATAGATCCATATTAATCCTTTTTTGAGCGACTAACATGAATCTTCTTTGAATTTTAGATGGATCACGATTTTAACTAATTGAGTCTATTTTAAATTTCAAAATACCATAAATTGACTTTGTTTTCAAAAAAATTAAAATAAATTTCATAATTTTTGTTGAGTTTCAAAATGTACTTTACTAAAAAAAACAAAATTCTGTCACAGCAGAAATGATAATCTCTTTCTTTTAAGATCTTTAAACTTTTTTTCCCGAACTACTTATCCTTCAGACACAACTATTATGCAACTCTTTTTATTATAACTTTTTTTAAATGATCTAAATGAGTTCATTTAAAGTCCCTAGAAGTTTATAAAGAAATAGATTTTATTTAAGTCTCATAACTATTAATTTTAAAATTTTACAATGACTTCACATATTGATTTTTTTAACTAAATAATTCTCTTTTCAAACTCGTAATTTGCTGTCCTTTAAAGTATGTTGCCTTCGTGACGTCAAATTTCACATCTCTGCGATGCTCAAATACCAGTAGGTCCAGTACATTTGGTGTGATACAACTTACAAGCCAAAATGATCAGGATTTCTACCTAGCCAAAAAATGTAAAAGTTTTAGGGAAATAGTTTTGTTATGTTGTAAGAAAAAATTTCTCTCATGTAGTAAAAACAAAATTATAAGTGAGATCCACAGGTAAAAGGAGAGAAAAAAAATAAAGATGAGACCCATCTCTTTTTTGTGTGTATAGGAAATTGCTTTTCTTATGTAATATGAGATAAATATAACGCAAAGTTTTATATGGATTTTCAAGTGATGTTTATCTTCGGTTTCTTGATTAAAGCTCTCTTTTATTACTAAGATGTTAGCTGAGAGAAAACCAAAGTTGTAGCAATATTAAGCACTCACTTTGGTCTTTGGCTTCTCTTTTTGACTTCCCGAGTCATGCTGTCATTCACCCGTTATGTACATATCGCCAATTTTGTTTTGTCACAAGTTATCTATACAGGGAAAAATCTGAAGCATAAGACTTTTGGTCTTGTCCTGCCTCATTCCTGTTACAAGGCAATAATGCATAGGTGATTTGGGGAAATTCCTTGACCCAAATTCACTTGTACAGAAATAGCATCTTAATAATTGTTGAGATTTGACAAAGGATTATAGT